GAGTAGAGAAGTAATGTCTGTCCACTGGCCATCTGGGATTCTACTTGCTGACTTTCTGATTCAGAAGCTTTTCCCAAAGTATGTGCACTCCACAGCTCAGCTCTGTGTGCCTCGTCCTCCTGGCCACCTGTTGTTCATAGCATTCACATGTAACTATGTCAGTACCCCTTTCCTCCCAGCCTCACCAACGGTCAGAGGTTGGAGTGGAAGGCTGTCCTTTCCTGCTCCTCATGAGCTCTCAAGATTGTAAAGGCCTCCTCTCTGCCTCAACCTGGAACTTCAGAGAGTAGGACTCAAAGTGATGTGATACTAGGCAAAATACCAGCACCTTCTCTAAGAGCCTGAACAACACATTTTGGATAATTATCTATAAGGCGATCAAAGAGCATTCTATATATAACATGTGAACTAATACAATTTATATTTAACCCTTACATTAAAATTTTTCTAAATTAAACTTATTGGAGTGACATCTACACTAATAAAAGACAAACATGCAAATTGACTGTACCTTCGCTATGCCTTAAGCCACGCCCACCAATCAGAGCAACTGTATGCAAATTAACCCAACCAAGATGGCGGCCAGCAGCCACGGAGCTGGAGCGATCAGAAGGCTTGGTTGCCCCAATGATGGAGAAAGCCAAGCTTCCCACCTGCCACGGCCTGGCTCTGAGCTCCACTCAAAGCAACAAAGTTTCAATTATAAAAGGTAAATAAACCCCAGATACCTGCTTTCAGCCGGCTGTGGCCACGGAGCTGGAGCAAGCAGGAGGCTTCCCTCCTGCCCACCCTGGCCAGCTCTGAGCTCCTCTCAAGGCTACAAAACTTCAATTATAGAAGGTAAATAAATTCCAGAATAAAAAAAAAAAGGAAAAAAAGGAGAGGCTGGGAGCTTCCGTCACCGGGGGGCTTGGCCGGCCTGAAAATGGCCCTCAGCCTTTCACCCAGACTGGCCAGGCACCCCAGTGGGGACCCCCCACCCTAAAGGGGGTGTAGCCAGCCTGAAAACAGCCATCATCCCCTCACCCAGGCTGGCCAGGCACCCCAGTGGGGAGCCCCACCCTGAAGGGGATGTGACCAGCTGCAAACAGCCATCATCCCCTCACCCAGGCTGGCCAGACACCCCAGCGGGACCCCCATCCTGATCCGGGACACCCTTCAGGGCAAACCAGCCAGCCCCCACCTGTGCACCAGGCCTCTATCCTATATAATAAAAGGGTAATATGCAAACTGACCCTAACAGCAGAACGACTGGGAATGACTGGTCACTATGACACACACTGACCACCAGGGGGCAGACACTTAATGCAGGAGCTGCCACCTGATGGTCAGTGCACTCCCACAGGGGGAGCTCTGCTCAGCCACAAGCCAGGCTGATGGCTGCCAGTACAGCGGTGGTGGTAGGAGCCTCTCCTGCCTCCTCAGCAGCGCTAAGGATGTCTGACTGCAGCTTAGGCCTGCTCCCCGCTGGCAAGTGGACATCCCCCGAGGACTCCCGGGCTGCCAGAGTGATGTCTGACTGCCAGCTTAGGCCCAATTCCCCAGGGAGCGGGCCTAAACCAGCAGGTAGTCATCCCCCAAGGGGTCCCAGACTCTGAGAGAGCACAGGCCAGGCTGAGGACCCCCCCCCCTCGAGTGCACAAATTTCTGTGCACCGGGCCTCTAGTTGGTTAATAAGAGTATAAGTCTCAAGTATTTGCAGTGACATACATTAAATTAAATAGTTATATTCTTATATTTAATAATTTGTTCTAGACTTTTTTATTATAACCATATTGATGAATGTCTCTAAAATTCTTCCATTATATTGATGGTTTAGATATGCTTTATCATTGTAGAGGTAATATAGTCATATTTATATTTTTGTAGAACATTATTCAGTCATGACTTAGCAGCAGGATACTATTAATAGAATTCTTGTCTGAGGACTATATTTTATATAGATATCATAAATATAAATAAGCATAAGATTTACTATACCCTTTTCTAGACATTAATAAATATTGTATATGCCCAATCTATAATAATAAAAGTATAATATGCTAATTAGACTGGACATCCTTCTGGATGACCTTACGGATGAAGCCAGGACTGCAAGGGAAGCCCAGGTCGCAGGTGCCTGCTGGAGGCTGGAGGCTGGAGGAAGCCTGGGTCCCGGTAGCCTGCCAGCGGCTGGAGGGAAGCCTGGGTCCTGTGTGCCAGTGAAGCCGGTGTTGGCAGCCAGAGGAAGGAAGGCCTACTCTTGCACAAATTTCCTGCATGGAGCCTCTAGTCTATCCTATATAATAAAAGGCTAATATGCAAATAGACCGAACAGCAGAATGACCGGTCACTATGACATGCACTGACCACCAGGAGGTAGACGCTCAATGCAGGAGGTGCCCCCTGGTTTTCAGTGTTCTCCCACAGGGGGAGTGCCACTCAGCCAGAAGACCTGAGCTGTGCTCATGGCTGGTGAGTGCAGTGGCGGTGGCGGAAGCCTCTCCCACCTCCCTGGCAGTGCTAAGAATGTCTGACTGGTGGCTTAGGTCCACTCGTGGGGAGTGGGCCTAAGCCATCAGTCAGACATCCCTAGAGAGCTCCTGGACTGCGAGAGGGAGCAGGCCAGGCTGAGGGACACCCCCCTACCCCCACCGAGTGCACAATTTTTTTTCACCGGGCCTCTAGTAATACAGCATATAAGAACTTAAGAATTAATATTATGGGCATTTATAGTTATTCTTTGTTACTTATGTCAAAATAATGGTAAATACTCTTTTCAAAGTTGTTTGATGACATGACTTTAACAATATACTCACTGCTTTTTAAAAGAAAAAAAAATTCAGTGATGACAGGCTAGAGTTATAATATTTCATCATTTTAGTATAATAAAATATAATAATGTTTTATATTTATAATTTAATAGAATTATTTCCAAATGGGAAACAATGCTATAGTGTGCTAAATAAATTTGGAGTAGCATTTATGATTCGAAAAGAATGTAAAATGTCCAGTTGCTCCTGAGGCTTATGGGACCATATTTCAGGACAGATGTGTTTATAGCAGTGCCATGGGCCTACTGTGGCTGTGTGGACCACCAAATAAGAAGATGAAACCCAACCAAGCAATGTGTGGTGTTTCTAGAGTCATTGCTATGATTTTCATTGGCTCAGTAATTGAGGAGGTTCAGCTACTACAGCCAGAGAAGATGATAGCTTTAGTAAAGTAGAAGTTTATGGGAGAGCTAAATGCATGGCTTATGTATTTCTTATATGCATTAGACATTGCACAATAAGATAATGTAAGAAACTCTTTTTACTAAATGAATAGGTAATGAATGGTATTACTATCTTAATTTCACTTCTTGATTACTACTGGTTATAAACATTTTTCATATGTTAATTTTAATGTGAATTGCTATTGATGCCATTTGTCCATTTTCAGTGTGTATAGTGTTTATTTTTAGTTTTCAGAAATTATTTATTAATAATTATACTAATCCTTACACTATCTTATTGGTAGAAAAAATGTGTTTTTGTCCAAGTAATAGGATTGTATAAAACCAAAACCCATTCTGGACTTTTATCTTTAAAATTTTTTAATGATTTGTTTTTCAAATTTTCTTTTTTATGATTATAAACTAAATGTCATCAGTGGAAAAAAAGAAATCCGAAACCTAAATTTAAAAAACCTCAACATATAGAGATTATTTTAACTTCACTTTCTAATTAAGTTATTAACATTTTAGTGCATGTCCTTCATGAATATAAATGTACATATTATATGTATAAATTTATATATGTCAATATGTAAATATATCAATACATTCATACACACATGGCTTTATTAGAAGGGTATTACTTCTCTGCCTTATAGAACACATTTTTCCCAGTAAATATAGTTTTACACCATTATTTCAAAGTATTTGAATGGTATGCTATTATATACATATGCTAATTATTTATTCAACAAATACTTATTATGACACTAATAGTGGCCCAGCTGGCATGGTGAAGTGGTTGAGTGTCAACATATGAACAAGGAGGTCATGTTTGATTCCTGGTCAGGGCACATGCCCGGATTGTGGGCTCGATCCCCAGTGTGGGCCATGCAGGAGGCAGCCCTCTCCCTCTACCTTCCTCTCTGAAATCAATTGATGTTTCTATTTCCCACTCCCTCTACCTTCCTCTCTGAAATCAATTTTCTTTAAAATACCCTAATAATGCTGTAGAGGAGCACTGGGAATAAAGCAACATACAAAACTCCTACAAAGGTGAAGTTTGAATGCTATTGGAGAAAATGTACAGTAAACAAATAAATATTGTATATAAAATAAGTACTAGGAAGGAAAAAAGGAAGATGATAGAAAGTAGTAGGTTGGCATGAGGGGATGAGGTACTTTAGGAAGGCCTTTTCAAGGAGCAGGGACCTCACTGAAGTATGGGATCCCCCATGCCAATATTTAGGGCAAAATCATTTTAGGCAGAGAAAGAACAAGGTGTACCTTTAAAAAAAATAAAAACAATTTGACATTGATTAACATTTAGATTACCTCCAACTATTTAAAAATTTAAATAAAATGTTAAACAAGTTTGGAGAGACCATTCTTCTTAAAGATTTTCTAAATTTTTACATGTATTCTAACTGTTCTCCTTAATTTTCAAACTTATTTTTCCACTGTTGTATGTCTTCATAACCATACTGATAGGAAGATGTAAAAGTGTATATGAAAGGATGTCAATCTAATGCCATTATATTCCATGGGTTCTAATTTATATTTTTTAAAAGAAAAACAAAAGTTTAAGAAAGAAAAAAAATGGTGTAAGTATATTAGAATATAGAATGTTTAGAGGGGAATTTTTATAAGTAATACAAAAAAATCAAAATGACTTGCCATTACTTGTACTGCTACTTAATACTTTCTGTTTATGCCATTTTAACCCCATGGGACTTTTAGTAAAATCACTTAAGAATAAGGACTTCAACACATAAAGTTTTGTGTTTCTTTCAATCTCCTTCAGATTGCTGATGTCAAGTCTTTCTCAGGTCCTTTTAATGTCCTGCCTGTGAAGACAAAATGGAGTAACATTGGCTTTCATATCCTTCTGTTTGACTTGGAAAACCTTGTTGAACTTCTGCTGTCAACGCCAGCCTGCGACAATGACCCTTCCAATTCATTCTATGGCAGTGAGATCCTGAGAAGAGCCAAAAGTACAGTTGAGAAGAAAACATTGACGCTGAAAAGAAATAAAACTGCCTGTGGTTCTCTCTCAGCAGAGGCACAAGCCAAGCCTGTGAGCGAAGCCCCAGCCCAAGGAGATAATTCCATCGTGGTCTTAGAAGAATATGATGGAATTAAAAGGCAGAAGAAAATGAAGAGCTCCAAAAAGACACACCCTAAGCCGTCAAGAAAATTTGATGCCAACCTCATAATAGATGCAGCCAAATTGCTCCTATCTTGCCTTTTGCCGTGGGGAGTGGATAAAGAATTAGATAACCTCTGCATTAAACATCTCAATATTTTGAAGCTTCAGGGTCCCGTGTCTTTAGGACTTGCTTCAAATGAAGATCACTTCTCACTGATGCTGCCAGGTTGGGATTTATGCAATGCCGAAGTGAAGAAAGACTACTCAAAAGTCAATTTGTTTTCCAGAAAAGTGTTGGAATTGTCAAACAAATACACATCCACTCTTCCAAATCAAGCTGGGATGCCAAGAGGGCTGGAAAATAATTGTGACGCTTTGCATGAGTCAAACACTATAATTTATTTATTGAGAAGACTATTTTTAGTTAACAAATTAGTTAACATGCCTGTAGACTTGGCATATGGAATTGATAGGTAAGGCATGCCTAGAGATTTTGACTATTCTTATTTGGGATATTTTAAAAATTATCATTATTTGTTGTATTCAACTCTCTAGCCTTTCTCCTTCTTTTCTTCATTTACACGAAGAATGAATATGCAACAACTCCTTTAGCTTCAAACACATTTAAAAAAACCTTTCTTTTAATTTTTGGGATTGGAGGATAATTTGAGTAATAAATTTGTTTTAAAATATATTTGTTCAACAAATAACCCTTGTTCTCATAATATGTGCCAGGAAAATCAGAGTGCTAGGTGCTGAATGATTCAATAAATAGATAGATGATATATACTTACATACATACAAACAACCTTGAAATACATTGCTGTTGCTATGAATTAAATATGAACAAAGAACATTTAAGTAATCCCCTATAATGACATGTTTTATATATCACTAGAGGCCCAATGCACAAAATTTGTGCAAGGGGTTCGGCTCTGGCCCCCACCTGCTGTCGCAGCCGGGGGCCTCTGCCACCTCTGCCGTGGCCCCCACCCGCTATGGCTTTGTCCAGAAGGAATGACGTCCGGAAGGATGTCTGGTCTAATTAGCATATTACACTTTTATTATTATAGATAAGGAAAGGAAAAATTTGAAAATTTAATTCCTCAAATCCCACCATTTAATGTATACTTTGGCATTTTAAAATAGAAGAGACCATCAGTAATTAATTTGTAGAAAGTACAGTTTAGTAATAATAACTGTTTTGTTTTTTTTAGTGCTTCGTATCTGCTGGTCACCATGGAAGCCCTTTACATACATGATTTTATTTAGAATTCACAGCAAAGCTGTGCAATAGGCCCTATTATTTTGCTCATTGTATAGGTGACGATATTAAGGCTTATGAAGAGAAGATACCAACCCCAAGATTAATTCAGCTTCTTGGAGTCTGATTCAAGGCTGAGTACCAGTCTCATTCCAAAGCCTGATTAATCACTCACTTTGACTCTGAATGTCTACCCTCTCCCACTGCTAAAATGCAATGCAGTTTTTCATAGTCTGATATTAGAAGATTTAATTCAATCATCAGCCTATAGGGGAAATAAACATAAATTTCTCATTTGGGTATGAGCTCATTTAAATGATAAAAATAATGCACCTGAAATACATAGAAAACATTGAAGTAAAATAAAATAAAATAAAATAAACTAGAAAAAACATTTGTAATACAGGTGTTTTAGGTGGTCTGTGTAAAGAGAATAATTAGTGTGAGATAAAACCATCTAGGAAGCCATTCCAGAAGAGATGCTGTTTGATCTACCCAGTACATGGTGGTAAATGGTCCTTGACATTTATGTTCTTTGATAAGAGCTCAATTCAACAAATACCTGTGCCAGGCACTGTATAATGGCCAGAGTTCCTGTCCTCAGTGGACTTACAGTCTGGTAACAAAGCAAGTCCCTATGGATTATGCAGGATTCAGTATTATACTTCCTTCCATTATAATGCTTTTTTGTGCTACTGGGTTTTCCATGTTCTGTTCATAGCCCTAACAATGAGAAAACAGACTGGTAAATTTTAGTTCTTTACTATCCTCTATTTCTTCTACTTATTTATTTATTTTTAAAAATTCAGATAGGCTTCATTTACTTTTCTTTCTATTACTAAGAAAATTACATAGTACCTAAAGTCTGGTTAAAAATAAAATGCAGGCAGCCAGGAGCCCGAAAACCGAGGAATTCATCCTGATTTTATTGTTAACTAGCCATGTGCCTTTGTACTAGTCACTTAACCCTCTGGGCCTTGCTTTCCTTATTTTAAAATGAGGTGGGTGGGATAGGTGATCGTTAAGATTTCTTCAAATTATTAAAAACTTGGGCTGCTACAAAAGTATATTTGTTTGCCTAATTGTGATCCCACAGAGCAGGTGAGGGACTTAGTTATTGTTTGTCAGAGATGTTTATTCTGAGTTTGTTTCTGATTACCAAGTACAGAGTACAGGATGTGTCTCAAGCCCACTGGGGGAGATGATAGACTGGCACTAGGCCTTCCCTTAAAATCGGTAGCACAGCCCTGGACAAGTGGCTAAGGTGGAGCATCATCCCGTACACTGAAAGGTTGTGAGTTTGATCCCCGGCCAGCACGTGTACAGGAGGCAACTGATCCATGTTTCTCTCTATCTCTCTCTCTAAAATTAATTTAAAAAGCCATATCCTCAGGTAAGGATTAAAAAAAATTATTAGCACACATTAGCAAATTCTTTATAGAATTCTTAATTTAAACATCCAATGGAGGTGTCAGGATTAGAGACTGCTACCCTCAATCAGTCGCTTCAGATTTGATATTTTGTTAGAGAATGCATGTCCTTTGTCAGGAAATCAAAATAATGTGCATTAGATGTGTCACCAGATCCTCCAACAAGTTTGACCATTTCACTAACATTTCCCTGTGATTGTGAAGGTTGAGAAGTCCTTGTCTGCTTAACAATCAGGTGCATGATGTAGCTGGATTTTAAGGAAACAGCTAACTGCCTCTGAGCACACACTTGGGCAGTCTCTGAAAGCTGCTGAGTCACCGCATTGGAGCACAGCCTGCCTTCTGCACATCCCCACGGCACCTGGGGAGAAATCTTTGGCTGATGTCAACATATTAGGATTAAAAATAAATGTTAATTTTGCATTAGCCACAAATTGCATGACCTAAATTAGCAAGCCCTTCTGTAAAAGTAGATCACAAGACAATACTGATAAACTAAAATTCAGAATTCAATTGGGATTAAGGTGTTAGGTAGGAGAAATATGAGGGAATACGATTCATCAAAGAGATTAATGTGGAAGACATTGCTAAAAATAATCTGTGTTCACTTCCCAAATTTGTTAAATTGGTCATACACTCATATGTTTCATTTATTTAATCCATTTTTCAAAATATTTTTATATATTTTCAATAATATACTTTAAATCTTTTTTTGTTTCAATAGCTCTTTCAAATTGGATTCTGTGCATAACAAAGTGAAAAGTCCTGGGAATGATATTTTGCATATTTCAAGCTTCTACAGTTACCTACGAAATGGTAAAGTTACAGATATAATCTGTTTTGTTTTGTTTTTATTTCTATGACATAAAATAACTAGTATTTCTATAACTGAATAGCACTCTACAATTTAGAATAAACAATGTGTCTTTTTATTATATTATTTAGTCTACATTTCACATGGTTATATGTTTGTATTCTGCCAATATTGAAATATATGTGAACATTCTTAAAAGTATGTCTTTTTTTAAAATTAGCCTTATGCATGTCTTCTTTTTAAAATACTATTATACTTTTTTATTGATTTCAAAGAGGAAGGGAGAGGGAGAGAGAGATAGAAACATCAATGAGGAGAGCGAATCATTGATTGGCTGCCTCCTGCACGCCCCCTACTGGGGATCAAGCCCGCAACCAGGGCATGTGCTTCTGACCGGAATCAAACTCGGGACCCTTCAGTCCGAAGGCCGACGCTCTATCCACTGAGCAAACCAGCTAGGGCACATCAGTATCTTTATTACCACATAAGTGATTATTACACTAGAGAATGTTAGCGCTATTTCAGAAGTCATATAATGGTCCTTGAAATCTGTGACAATCTTGCTCTTTAGATTCATCCAAAAACCTGCTTCTTCACATCTTTGACATCTCAGTAAGTGGCAATTCTATCCTTCCAGTTGTTAAGGCCAAAAACTTTGAGGCCATTTTGATGTTTCCCTTTCTCTCACACTCCAGATCTAACCTTTTAGTAATCACCTTGGTTATACCTTCAGAATATATCCCAGGTTTTGACTGCTTCTCTCCACTATAGAACCACCCTTCATGATCCTTAATCACCTCTTGCCTTGATGACTACAGAGGCCTCCTAACCACCCCTCTGCTCCTATTTTTCATTCCTACATTCTATTCCCAACCAGGCAACCAGAGTGACCTATTAGAAACAAGGTCAGAACCTCATGTTTCTGCTTAAAAACCTTTCAGTGGCTTCTGTGTCACTCTGAATAAAAGCCACAGTGTTTAGGATAACTCACAAGGCCCTATATATAGAAGAACCTATATAACCTGGCTTTTCTGCCTACATCATTGCTCACACTCCCAACTGACCTCATCTCTTGATACTCATTTCCTGCTTCCCATAGGCCAGCTACACTGGTCTTTTTACTCAGACCCAAACATGACAGGCAGGTCTAAGGGCCTTCGTATTGGCTGTTTCCTCTGCCTGGAATTCTTTCCCCAGATTCCAGAGGTCAGCCTGCTGCCCCTCACCTCCACCACACATCCTTCAATTCTTGCTCAAATGCCATTTCATCATTGAAGGTGTCATCCCTTCTCCCAGCAACCCTACCCCTTTCCTTGTTTTACTGTTTTCCGCAATCCTTTTCACTACCTGACATACTATATATCATTTTTTAAATTTGTCATCCACGCCTGGCTAGTAAAACGTAAGTTCCATGGGTTTTCCTTTTGTTTTTATGACAGCTTTATGCACTGCTATGTTCCCAGTTCCTAGAGCAATGCCTGCAAAGAATTAGGTAAATATGCTTGAATTAATGGATGAATAGTTAAAAGGACAGTGGTTTTGGAGATAGCTAAGGTTCAAGATCCAGTTCTGCCACTTACTGTTTCTGTAACTTTACTTCTTCAAAAGCTGTATTTAGTGCATTTGTAAAGTTGGAATAATAGTGTTCATGTTGCCTCCAAAGTCACATAGTATATTATTGCTACATTGGAATGGCCTGAACAGCAACACATGCAGACCCTCATAGGGCTACTGAAAAGAATATTTGGGATATTTTAGAGTGGGAGTTTATTAATAGCTTCAGTTACTGAGTGACTGGTATTTTGAAAGAATTATGCTAAAAATTTTGCATATATTATCTCAATTAATATATAAAGGACACTATATAGTAGAAGGAACTATCTCTGTTTTACCCTTAGAGAAACTGGAGGTCAGGGAACTTAGATGACTTACTTATCATCATAAGCACAGGGGCCAGATTCTAGTCCAACTCTGTCTTATTCCAAATCCCTTGCTCTTCCAGTATGTCAGGCCACTCTCACATCTAAGATTATTAGTAATGTTCTCCTGATATGGCCCCATTCGGGTTGCCTATTTTTTTCCTTCGGTAGTGGTTCTTGTTAGGGTAGTTATTCTTGTTTTCATTTTTTTATTAGACTAGGAAATGGATTAGAATTTGAGGCATAACATAGGTGGTTTCTGCAGAGACCAAGAGACTTGCTAACCAGAGCCAGGGAGCCCCAGACTTTCCTGTGGCTGCCGAAACCACACAGCCTGAGCAACTAGTGCTATTTCTGATGCATCCCTGATGTTTGGAGTTGGCCTTTATAGCATTTACAACCCAGTTAGGTAATAAGGAAATGTTGTTGTGTGTTTTAATAATTGAAAGATGAGAGGTAGAAGGAAAGGAGGGATTTACTTCGTGTTATTAATTCTATAATCAACGCCTGAAGAATAAAATTACACTGTGGCACTCATTCTAAAGGGTTGACAGGAGCCAATACCCACTTCTGTCAGCAAGAATGGTGACTAGGTAATAGTGGTAAACCTGGGATGTTTTCTTTTTATCTTTCCCCCTTCAGTTGCAATTAATTCTTTAACTCACTGACATTGCCAAGAAAAGTTGGCTCTCATCTCCACCTCATATTAAAATTTAATGTCACATGAAAGTGCACTGTGAAGTACCCCCTGATGCCAGTAAGCAGTTACAGTTGAGACCAATACTTCGCTTTGATGGTAGAGTCACTGGGTCAACAAAAGGAGAGAGATCAAAAAAGTGTCCTCTTACCTGCTGTGCTCATGAAGAAATGGAAAATATGACTTCAAAATCATAGTGCTCTCTCATACTTGCATGTTTTATGCCCTGATCTTGGTCATTTCAAATTCACATTATATGTTCCATCAGGAAAAATGATGATATTAATGAGTTATAAGTTTCTTATGTATTGTATATATTTCTTTCATGTTCTCAATTTATATTATATTCAATACCTTCTAGCACATTTCCCTTGACCACTGATGTAATGCACACATACATATATCTATTATTATTTAAAATGGTGATTTAATGAAATACATATTAGACTAATACTAATTTTAAAAGTTGATAGCAGGATTTCAGACCTATATAATACATTTATTTAAATAGACAATCATAGTCATTTTTCTCTCCAGCGCAAGCCCTTGTTGTTTTTATCTCATTCAGTGATCTGGTGCCTAGATAATATATTTTACCCATCAGAAAGCCTAATTCATCGATTTTTCACTTAGATGATAATATGTACATTTTCAATTAATGAAAAGGTACTTATTAAGTGCTTTTTGTGTAGGAAACTGCTGGACACTCTATAGATCAATTTAAATAAACCAAGCCCTAGCTCACTCTTAAAATTTCACACTGAACATTAAGGCAAATGGATAGAAAGGAGATTCAAGAGGGCAGCCTTAAAAGAAACAATACATAACAAAATGAGGCAAATTAAAACCGAAGTGCTGTACCTATTGATCAGAGTAGCAGAGCTGGGTGAGGACAAATCAAGGGAAGTCTTTTATATGATTTCTGCATGATAGATGCAATGTACAATTTCAGGAACTGTTTGCATTAAGAAGGAATTATAAAATTTGGTGATCTGTTTGGGTGGGAATATTAGTAGTCATTGCATTTTGTTGGCAAAAAAGGGTACAAGGATGGGTTTAAGGTATAAAGATGCATTTGATTTAACATAGATATGTATTAGTATAATTATTATAAATACATAAATTAATGGTTTTTGACTCTCACTGTACATGAAAATCATCTGAGGTACTTTTACAGGGTATTAATGCCTGACCCACTGTCATCCTGAGACCTATTAAATCAGAATCTCTGTAAAGCTGACCCTGGGCTCCGGTGTTTATGAAAAAATGTCTCCCCAAGTGATTCTACTGTCAGCAGCTGGAGTTGAGGACCATTGAGTGCATCCATTTTGAATACTTTCAAGATATAAATGTGTTCTGTATATTTCTAGGCAAGAATGAACCTCATCTACCTGAAGCTGACATTTCTCTTTTGAAGCTAATTTCCTGTTGGAGAGACCAGTCTGTGCAGGTATGACACAGCTCATGTTCTTGATTATGGAAGAGTTTACTGATGCTGTGGTTCATGCATCCTCCCCTTTGCTTGAAAGTACGAGTGAATAGGTATGCTTGTCCTCACCCAATGTCCTCCCAGGGCATTTCATTCAACGGGACTAATGCAGAGACTAATAATGAGGGGGAAAGTGGGGAATAATATATACGAGGGTGCACCAAGTTAGGGGGTCTGAATGGAGGGAGCTAAGGAAGGGATGTTCATGGTATCAGTAACTTACTACTCATTGAAATTTCAGTTTGTGGCACAATTGTCTATTTTTCTTTTTATTTCAAAATGTCCCTAGGCTTAGGAATTTGTTAAGTGTAATTAGAAATTATTTTTCTATCCTGAGGGTACTTCATTTGGGAGCTAATTTAGAGGGCTGGTTTCCATGCCCAATTGAAGTCTTTTCTTTTTTCAGTCCGCTTTTTTAGGTCCTAAAAGTAAGTGGATAGTTTTGTACATACAAAAAATATCTGTGCATTGATTAGATGAGTACTTATTGGAACTTTGTTCTTCTTCATGAGCTTAAGGCATAGCAAATTTGCAAGACAAGAATAGCAGTAAAGACAATTAAAAATGACTATTTTGGGTACAGGAAACAAAAGAAAATTAACTCAGAACGAACTGTGGGGGTTGACACTATAAAACCAAGTAAACTCAACTGGAATGGTTATTGAAACTTGGCCATGGGGGGTTACCATGGCCAACAAGTTTCTATATGATTTGCCCTTTGCTTAACCTCTTTGCTTATCATTCTCCCTCCTATTTTTGTCATACTGAGCATCTTTATATTTCCAGAACATACAAAGCTCATTTCTGCCTTAGGTCATTACTGTTCTCTTGAGCTGGAATTTTCATTTTTCCATTCACCATTTGCTCAAAAGTCAACTTCTTAGAGAGGTCTACCCTGATTACTCCATCTAATAGTGCCACCTCCCCCTCACTGACCCCATGCCTCCAGCCACCATCACATTACCCAGTTTTCTTTTCTTTTTTGTGTGTGTGCTGTTTTTAATGGAAATTATACCTGCATTTGTTAATATATTTTTTTATTATTTCAGAGTAGAAAGGAGAGGGAGAGGGTGAGAGAGATAGAAACACCAATGATGAAAGAGAATCATTGATCAGCTGCCTCCTACACACCCCACACTGCAACCTGGGCATGCACACTGATCAGGAATGGAACTGTGTCCTCATGGTTCATAGGTCAATGCTCTATCAGTGAGCCACGCTGACCAGGCTACACCTTTATTTTTTGCTAGCTTATCTTCTGTTCCCTCACTGTTAAAGCAGCTTGCTGAGAGCAGGGGCTTGGTCTCACTCACCCCTCTTTGGCCAGTGCCCAGAAAAGCAGTAGTGACAGCAGCCAGTCAATAAGTAATGAATGAATGAATGAATGAATGAATGAATGAATAGCTATGCAAAACCTACTGTGATAATCAAATGGACATCAGTACATGTTGACTACCAGCATATTATTAATAAAGGAGTCTATCTGTTAAAGGTATGATTTTTTTTCCCTAGTAGCCAACTAATTCCACAATGGGGAAAAATCCTTAAGAAAATTAATTCAACAGACCATTTATCCTGAATTGCTCTAACTAAAGATCTTTTGTAGTTGTTAAATCGACTTTAAGATAAGTTTTAATGTGGTTTGGACATACTTGGACTAGTGGATCTTTAAGGTTCTATGATACTATGACTTTGTGCAAAATGCTGGGAGCAGGTAAAAATATTACCAGAGCATTTATGACTCACACTACAGGAAGTCCAAGCTTCACAGTTTGCCTTTCATCTCTGCCACGAGCCTGATGAATGACTCTGGAAGATAGGGTTAACTTGACTATTTTCCTCATGTGTAAAGTGGGAATGAGAATTTTTGCAAGTATCCATTTAAATGCTTCATTAAGCAGTCCTCAAATTACTAACAAAGCTGTTTATTTAAGCAGTTTGTCACATCATGTTAACTTGAATCTACTTTTCAATGTATTTTAGAAGCACTAGGTGGGAATGGAATGCTTTTGTAAAATAGAGCAAAATCCTTCTTCAGAAGTTGAATGGAGGAGGGTACCTTTAAGGGAGCAAGTAAGAAGGAATATATTTTTCAGATGAATAAGTTTATCTGGAAATTGTCTCTTTTGCTTCTCAAATAAGAAACATACCCATATTTTATCCATACTATCTATAAAATTTATCTTATTGGAATAAGGGCTGGAAAAGCAGCAGCAAGGATTTGGGGTTGCTAATTTGCATGTTTCTGAAGCTGCACTAACATACTTTGGATTTTCTAATTGAACTCTAGTGAGTGAAATATGACATCAACACCTCTAAGGCAGAGGTGTTGTGGCTTTTTTCAGGAGATGCTGCAAAGACCAGTGTGAGCCAGGTATTGGGAAAATGCTTCTATACCAGAAAATCCGGACATTGGAATTATAAACAGGCCTTGGGGGCTCTTATGAGTCTTTATAACATTCTGTGCTATTTCACAGTCTTAGTAAAAAAAAAAAAACATTAATTTTTTTAGTTTGCCTATGGCACTGTAATACTTCTAGTAATAATTACCAGTATATGGCCCAGATTTGTGGCTATCTCTTTCCAGCTAATGGATTAGTGAACCTTATTTTAAATCACTGCACAGTCCCTCATAAGAGTTTAATACTTTGTATATCTATTTCCAGAGAAACTTGCATTCAGAAGACAGCTTGATACCCGTAGTGCTTCCAATTCTAGCTCTTTATTAAAATCACAAATACTATATAAATTTTACATTTTGGGGCGTAAATTTTTCCCTACAATCTATAAAATTTATCTGCTATATTTACATAGTAGAGAAACGAAAGTATTAGTAGTTAGAAAGTATCAATAAATTCTACTTTCCAAATTTTATGTTTTTAAAGTGTTCAGGATCTATTTCAATTCCATTAGTATTTATTTAGTGCCCACTGTATACCAGATACAGTGATAATGTTATTTTAACCTACTTATAAGCTGTACAGTTTTTCTGAATTGGAACCATGCTTTATTGATTTCACACTGAGCATAAAGTATATATTTTGAGTTTGTCTCCAGCTGGGTATGCCATTCAATATTCACTTTTAAGTTTTGTGGCTCTGAGTATCCTATTCATTATGATTAGTATGTTTCATTTTGTTATTTTTACTTCCTCTTGTTTTCAATGATACTATTATTAATTATTCTTTTAATATGTATTAATAGTGAAAAATATGTCAAAAACCCCAAAATTCAACAGTTAAAAAATATGGTCATGATATATAAACCCAATAATTAGAAATGTTAGATGAAATTACATAAATCCCTATAGGTTTTAAGAAAGAATATTGATCCTGGTGGTTATAGACTTTGTATCCAATGGGATAGAGGACTTTCTAAGTCACAGTTGTGGGTGTTCCTAGAGATGACAATGATCCCAGTGAGAGGCAGCCATCCTTCCCTGGGGCATAAGGCCAAACTGCTCATTCGGAGGGGTAGGCCATAATCTGGATGGACCATGGGTCTGAGGATGTCCTCCAATAGTCTTCTGAATTACACTTATGGACAGAAGAAAGTTCCGTACAGGATCCTGTGATTGGAAGCTCTCATTCTAGACTCTCTCGGTATCAGAGACTTTGTTTTATAAGTGAGGGCGTAAAGTCCCAGAGTAGTACTGGCACTTGTCAAAGGTTGCATTTGTAGTTACTGTCATAGTTGGATCAGAAGCCCAGGCTTTCTCATCTCTTACTTAGAGCTCTTTTTACCACATCATCCACATCTTATAATCAGTGCTGTCAAATAAAATGTGACAAAATTAAAATAAAATTCATTGATGTGAAATTGTTCATGAATAATTAATATAGTTTGGTCCACTGTATGATACACATAAATAAGAATGGATCACCTATATTGTGATACAGGGTGTATGCTAGTAAACATTATTTCAAATAGTTAATATAATATCACATATTATAGCATGTAGATATTAATATCATGATTCACTGGTATCTTGATTTGTAGAACTGTTAGATTCATGGTATTCAATAACTGACACAGTGTTGAGAATCTCATCACATGATATGCATGAGTGAGCATTGTGTACCTGTACTGTGACAGGCAGTACTACAGCGTTGGTAGACATGGTATAGTAAAATCACTTCATTCATTATCCTTTTTTTCACAAGCTAACCAAGCATTTGAGTGTGAGCATTTGAATGAACAAGAACAGAGAAATGATCAGTGATCAGGAAGCCTCTGATACTTTTAGGAAGCTTCCCATATTGGAAGGTCAAGGGCCCAGGTCCTTCTGCCATAGTAGCTTAATAAGTATCTGCCATCAGCAACAGCTCTCTGAGTGTCCCTGGAGCCTAAAAGTCTCATACGCTGTCATGCCACGTAAAAGAGACTAAATAAATATTTAGATGAATACATGTTCTGTTTTTGGCATCAGCCTCTCTCCATCACCCTCGTGTTGCCCCAATGCCCCCGCCCAGGCATTGTAAGAGTAGGCTGTGGATAATGCAGAGGGGCCGGTGGCAATTGTGGAACCTGAGTCATTGGAGGACAGGGTTTAGAGGAGAAAGGAGCAGGCATGGGTGGTGGCTGTATGAAAGGTTTAACTGTCAGCCAGAGAAGGATAATAGGAAGGTGTTCCAAGGTCACCTAGATCAGCAGTGCCCTTCCTTTTCCCCTCACTTATTCAGCACTTGGCTTTCCTTGAACTTGACCTAACTCCTAGACTTTATCTCATTCCTTTCCAGAAAGAGGCCAAGGTACACCAGCTTTTTTACTCAAGGGTAGGAGGGGAGAACCTTGGCACAAGATATGCAACAAGGACAGAGGAGCAAAGCTCAGAGGACCTGTCTACCAAGTCTGTGTAGAACTTGGGATGTCATATACCAGATTGTTTATTTTAAAAATGAAGATAGTGGATTAGATGCCATGTGACAAGTATTCCCCCATCCCCTCCACCCCTCCAGTCAACCACAGGTCCTTGAGTGGGCATGTACAATAATGGGAAATTGTGCCTTGCAGTATTTTGATCTATATAAAGCCACATGCACATACACAGAGTTTAGTAAGATTTATTATTAAAGTCTTGTCTTTAACTTTTCTATATTAAGCCTAGTTTAAATCATGTGTTTTTAGCTAAATAGTGCTTTAGAGCTAGACATCGTGTGAGGAAATACACTTGTCTTTAAGAGCATTGTGACATATTCAAATTAATTTCCTTTATTTTCCAGCAGAAGTTAAAATATCTTAAGAGAAGGAATTCAAAACTCCTTTCAAATTTCCTGTATAGCATTTTGCATTTATGAAAGATCAGTGTGATGGTGTGGGTGCCAGTTCTCAGTATGTGCATTTTAATTATTTCAGATGTTAATCCTAGTGGAATGGAACATTGCAATTTATGTGAAACCTTCCTAATCGAAATTTCAGGCTTTGGGTTTTTTGCAAAACAGATTATTATTATTTGTAATAATACTAAATATAATTTGTATGGAAACGAAAACTCAACAGGTAACTGAAGCAATACAAGCTGTTCTCTTGGCGGAAGTTCAACAGCACATGAAGACGTTGAGAAGGACACCAGTCAACAGTGAACCAGCGTCCATGACTGAGAATGATAACTACCAGATGATGCAGATCCGGCCAAAGATGGAATGCACGGAGGAGCTAGAGTTACAGTGTATTACAGACAGTTTGTCTCTGCAAAGTAAGTGCAAAATTTATTGGCATGCTCTTTCCTCAGGGTTTTTTCTACTACTTAGAACTTCTTGAGAATATGAGCTCACAGTATATCATTTCTGCAAAATCCAAGCCCAGTGCCCTGTATCTGACCTGTTCTGCCATCAATCTCCTCTTATAATTGTCAGATTTTTAAAGAACTTCTAAATTCTATTATAATAAGTAAATATTTCTCCAAAACAAAAACCTATTATCATTTATAAAAAATGTTTTGAAATTAAGTGATTAAAAAATGAAAACTGGCCCTAACCGGTTTGGCTCAGTGGATAGAGCGTCGGCCTGCGGACTGAAGGGTCCCAAGTTCGATTCTTGTCAAGGGCATGTACCTTGGTTGCAGGCACATCTCTAGTGGGGGGTGTGCAGGAGGCAGCTGATCGATGTTTCTCTCTCATCGATGTTTCTACCTCTCTATCCTTCTCCCTTCCTCTCTGTAAAAAATCAATAAAATATATTTTTTTTTAAAAAATGAAAACAGGATGAACAGTAATAGCTTAATGGGATATACAGTATAAGAATACTTCATCATAATGGGTCCTAAGTTTGTTTTCATTTGCTACCACGATAGTACCCATGTGCCAGATTTTTTCTTTTCTGGGAATAAGAGACATAATAGAAACTAAAATTAAACTGGTTTATAGTTAGACCACTTGATTTTATAACACATTTTATCATTATAACAGTAATGTTTATGGCTTATGGCAAGCAAGTGAATCTAAATTTCTGCTGTAAAACATTAACTGATTTTTCAGTCATTAGCTGTGACATAAAAAAAAAAAAACAGTTAAAAAATAAGTGCAAATTTGATTTTCAAATTTACTAGTAAGCTTTTGATGAAAAATCGATTTATAATATGACCAAATGTATATTTTTGTCAGGAAAACATGTTACAAATTTACATGTTCCAGGTTGTTTAAAATTGTTAGGTACTCAAAAAGAGATTTTCTTTTTATTTATTTGGGACCCTGAAAAATGTTGCTACAGTTAAAATGTTTAAATCTTAAAAGAGATGTCATTCTTAAAAATGCATTACATTTTTTTCCTACTTACTACTATTTGTATAAGATTACTGATGGGAGAGCACTATGTAGTGAAAGAAGATCTATAGCAGGAAAAGAGGCTTCTTCAGTGAAGGCCAAAAATCAAAATAGAACATTTCCTGATACCAACACCGTTACTGAGGATGGAAAATCCAATAAGTAATTTGATAAATTTCAAGTCATTTGTTTGTTAGTTGTCCAGAAATTAGCTTAATTAACTGATAGATTCACCTAGTTGAAGGAGCTCCTTTTTGATTACATCACATAATTGTAATTGTGTGACACATTTCAATCAAGAAGCATAAAAATTCCTTTTTAAATTCATTTTCAATTAGTGCATTTGAGTTCTCAATTCATTTGAAGAGGCACCCATAGTGCCATTAATAGGTTTCTTCCAACTCTCCAAACACGGCTAATGCCATTCATCATGTGTAAATGCTCCTCAGGAGGCGGTTCTGTGCCTTATTCCTCATCGGGCGAGTCTAACTTATCCATTGGCCCAAAGACCTGTTTTCTAGGTGAGAAATTCATGGCAGGCGGTCAAGGTAAAACTTCTGATGAGTTTTGTTGTCACATGAGCTACCTATTACTTGAAGTTTCACTGAGGCCCTCTGTCCCCAGTTAATTATGGGGTATAAGAACTATTAACACTATACTATTTAATCTTACTATGACTAGAGACACCCAGAATTCATGTTAGATATTAACTATCTTTAAGTTATTTTTGAATGAGCCTTTGCTAATGTTAAAAGAAAATTTAGGGTTTGTTTGTGATAAGAATTGGAACACAAAAATATTACAATTTATATGTTGTAGTATATGTTGGTAGATGAAATTTAGAATATTTTAACTAAAAAAAAAATACTCAGAAAGTGCTGAGCATATATTTTTTGGGGGAAATGCTGCCTGTAGGAAAATATTAACTGCAATTACAAGTAAATCAGGAACACATAACATGCATTGAAGAGAAAAATTTCCAAGTAATTTTTTCAAGTAAATTTCCAAGTTATATTTATATTAACACTACCTATTCAGAGAAACTTAGAAAAATGACAGGAAAAATTTTAGACTTTTATTACAATAGTATGTACTGCATTACTTGAAGGAATTTTAAAATATATTTAAGTAAAAAAGCTATTTTATTTATTTCAAATGTCTTGATTCAAAGGTTATGGAGATGGTGTGGTACTCTTCATCAGTGCAATTATTCCTCAAATTTTGTAGGCAGTTACTTAGGCAGAATGTCATTGCAACATCTATTATTTTACCAAATATTATTATAAAAAATTGTTTATGTCATTTAATTTTATCGAGTTCTTGTTCAGTTGTCATCTGTGAGCTCCCCTCCACACCCTTTAAAAATTATTTTTTCTTTTTAATTGAATTTTTTAATTCTTTCTTGGTTACTTGATGCATCCTCTTTGTTAATCATTTGGAAAGTAAGAGATGACAGTTTTTATGATTCACAGATACTCAAAAACTCCTTTTATGCCAGGACATAGTATATTTGGTTTATTAGTATGATAGTAATATAGCGATAATAGATATGGAAAATAATAATAACAACAATTATCATATTCTTAGTACACTCCAACACAATTACAAATGTTCTCTCACTTTTTCCTTTGATTCATACATAATTCACATGAACCTTAAGTCTGTTTTCAACATTTGAGTCATCTGTGTAATCAATTTTATAGTTTTTAAATGTCCATGTTTATGGAAATGAAGTTTTAAAGTGCAGCTGGAAAAAAAAAAAAACACTCTCTGAGAAAGACAGATCCTGAGAAATTGCTCCTGTAATTTTCTTATTTGACACACTAATGATATATCTCCCTCATATACATGAAATGAATAATATTGGAAAATAAGACCATCACCATACCAGCTATCTTGACTGCCACCAGTGGTGTATATCTTGCACCTTGAAATATGCTTTCTTTTATTATACTTTTTTTTCAATGAATAAAACTGGGATTTAAAAGAGGGTGAGTGCCTTGTCTACAGTCAAAATATTACTGAAAACATGGATGCATAGTCTCTTAAACACTGTGTTCTTGTCCAGTAAACTGCATTTTCACACTGGCAGCTTGAAGGAAATTTGCTCTAAATCAGCTCAATCTGAAAATTGAATAATTTATCGAGTGGTTTTCTTAGATTTTTATTCCTCTCTCATAAATCATACTTTCTATCACCAAAGAAAATGCAGAGTGTTCAATCGCTGCCCTCTCAGCCCTTATACTAAAGAAAATCACCAGATTTTTTTTTAACTATTTGTACGTGAGATGCATCTAGAAAGCAGTGGAAATGAGTGAAATGAAGTTGAAGCATAATGTGTTTGAACTTTATAATTCTATATCTTGTTTATTTCCAGTGTTTTCATTTCTTGTTTCACAGCATGTATTTTATTTGAGGTTGTTTTTTTTTTTTTTTAAATATATTTTATTGATTTTTTACAGAAAGGAAGGGAGAGAGATAGAGAGTTAGAAACATCGATGAGAGAGAAACATCGATCAGCTGCCTCCTGCACATCTCCCACCGGGGATGTGCCCGCAACCCAGGCACACGCCCTTGACCGGAATCGAACCTGGGACCTTTCAGTCCGCAAGCCGACGCTCTATCCACTGAGCCAAACCGGTTTCGGCTTATTTGAGGTTTTAATATTTGTCTATTGGTATTTTATGGGAGAGTGGTGGATTTTATCTGAGTTTACTTTTTTATAATGATTACATTACTATCTTCTTTAAATCTCTTTATTGAGAAATTATATAAATAACACTCACATTTGAGGCTAAGATTCATTGATTTAAAAATAGTAGTGTTTCCTATTATTAAAATACATTTGAAGGTTATTTTCCTTTATTTTTATTTTTTTTGAATGTTATTTGGATCAGTTTAGACAAGTGCTCTCTAAATTGTTCCATTAAATAAATTGGTTTAAATAGAAATGGAGGTTTTGCAGATAAAGCTGTCACCTGGAATTATTGGCTGAATTTAAATTCGCATTAAACTGTAGTTGTGAAGACCATGCATCAAATATGGGTATTGCAAATAATCTTTATTAGATGCACCATTTTCAAAGACTTATCTACAAAATTAAATAATGAAAATGTGCTCTTTGTTTATAGTAAATCAAAGAAATAAACATTGATTCACCAGAAAAGTTTTGTGGTTCTTGGTGGCCGATAGCAGAGGGACTGGCTTGGGATGGTCTTCCATTGCCTGCTGAATTTCTCAGAAGGAAAACTGTCTAGTTGCTAAAAGGCTTTGAAATACAATTGACAACGCTTTTTTCACTGTCTTTATTTATAGTAAATGCATCTTCCACCGCCCTCTCTGAGGTCTTCAGGCTAAATGAGAAGACCAAGACTTTATTCTTTCTGGCCACAGCACTCATTTAGGAAAGGTCTGTGTGACATGAGTGAGCAAGGAGCAGAAAAGTAATGGTGGGGGCACATCACAGAAGGCCTTGGTTGTCACAGTGAGATCCTAGGGTTTCTCTCTGAGATGGGAAACCATTTGAGCAGACAAATGGCACACATTTCCATGGAATCACATTGTCTGAGGTTCAGGGGGCCAAGGACAGAAGCAGGGAGACCAGTTGGGAGCCATTATACTAATCTTGAAGATGGCAGCCTGGCTCAAACATGGTCGCCTGGATGAAGATGATGAAAAGCGATCAGACTCCAAATGTATTTTGAAGGTAGAGCTGACAGTATTTGCTCATGGGATAAGTATGGAGGAGTGAGATGAAAATCTATACTTAGATTATTTCAAACAAAAAGTATTTGATACAAGATCGACCCTATTGTTGTGGCTTGATTTGGTAGTGCAGCGTTGCTTATGGTATTCCAGGTTTGCTGAAGGAAGAGTGGAAAACCCACTCCACACTCCTACCTGCCCCTGCTGTGTTCAGTTTCAACTGTCCCTG